ATAGGAGGACCCACTACCCAAAGCTGTTTCCCTGGCACCTGTGGAAGCTCTGCACCAAGCATGTGCTCAGGAACTACTTGTGGATTGATAATAAAGCAAAGTTTTAATTCTATCAACAAAATCATACCAGTGTTTTTAAGTCAGATTGCAACCCCTAAAATTAAATTTTCCTTCTGAGATAACTTATAGTCCTGTTGTGTTTTTGTTTAACAAAGGAAAGCTACTTCTCAGGAACTCCCTCCCCCATGACACAAAGCGTGACCCCGTGTGTGCGCATGCGTGCGTGTGTATCTTACCCCATCTTCTACAAAGTGCATCTCTTTTTCTACTTCTGTCCTCCTCAGAAACCTCAACTGAACTATATAATTAAACAGAAATCCATTTCACTTTTTAAGGTAAATTGTTTTGTAAATCAGTTTCTTCAGACCTTTCTTAGATTGGTCCTATCTTCTTGAAAATACAAACATCTTTCCCAGATAAACGTCTAGCTCCAATACTCCTTTGTCCCTTTAATTAAGTTACTATGGATTTTTCCTCTGATTAGTCTGATGAAACCCTGTTGAAGGTCATTTTGCTAACAGGATTTACCACTTTCTTTAGAATCCAACCTAAGCTGTATCAGCTCTTGATGACATGGCCCAAAGCTGCCTGTTGTATGCAGTCTGTCTCTTCATCAGTGAACAAAACTGTTGTGGCCCTATATTTCCACTTTTTCCTGCAAGAACTGTCCCTCAGACACTCTAAATTCAGATGTTCCAGTGTACTTTAAAGTTATTTGTCACAAACAGCAAATAAATACGTGAAAAAATGTTCAGCAGCACTGGTCATTCGAGTGATGTAAATTAAAACAACACTGAGATTTCACCTGACCCCAGAAAGAATGGATAGTATTAAGAAATCAACCAATGACAAGTGGTGGAGGGGCTAAAGGAGAAAAGGAACCCTTCTCCACGGTTGGTGGGAGTGCAGACTGGTGCAACCTACATGGAAATCAGTGTAGAGTTTCCTCAAAAAACTAGGATTGGAGGTCCCATCTGATCCAGTTATTCCCCTTCTGGATATCTTCCCAAAAGAACTGAAGACATTATACTACAATAATATATAAGTATCCATGTTTATAGCAGCACAGTTTATAATAGCCAGATCTAGGAAACAACCTAAATGCCCAAGGACTGAGGAATGGATAAAAATGATGTACTCGGCCATAAAGAATGATAAACTGGACACTTTTACAGGTAAATGAATGCACTTGAGAACATAGTTATTAGTGAAATAAATAAGCTATACATGTGTAAACATATTATTTCATTAGTGCAACAAGCAGAAAGAAAAAACAAGTATATATGTATGTATATGTCTATATAAAATAGTTAAGATAGTTAAAAAAAAAAAGAAGCATAATGGCCTCCTTTGTCATCCACATGGCCTGTTCATAAGCAAACTCAATGCCTCCCTCACTGAACATCTCTGTAGGTTCTGCCTTCCCTTCTACACCTTGTCCCAGTCTTTTTGTCCCAGAGAGAATGACCTCAGGTAAAGCAACATTTCAGGTCACACTTGTCTTTACTGTAACCCGCTGCAAGGCATTTTGAGTTGGCTTGTGGGTGCCTTAAGAATTTTTTGATGTGCTATAAAGTTTGGGCTTTTTGCATGTGGATATCCACTTGTTTCAGTATATTTCCTGAAGGTATACTCCTGTCTCCATTTAACTGCTTTTGCATCTTTGCCAGAAATCAAGTGTCTGTTATGTGGGTATCTATTTCGGGACTCCATATTGGTACCTTGGAGGTTTGTCTATCTTGTTATCAATGCTGTTTTGTCATGATTGGTGTAACTTTGTGATAAATCATGGGACTGAGGAGGGTTTTATTCCTTTATCAAAGTTTAGATTATTCTGAGTCTTTTCTATTTCTACAGAAATGTAAGAATCAAAATGTTAATTTTTATGAAAAATGATGTTGGCATTTTTGATAAGGCATTGTTTTCTGATCTTTATTATTTGCTTCTATTTGTTTTTATTGTCTTTTATTTCTAATTTCTTAAGGAAAGGTATGAGAATATTTCATAACTTTCTTCTTTTCCAATAAATGTACTTGCTGTTAAAAAAATAAAATAATTTGTCAGAAATACAGCATTGTTTATGACCTGGGATGAAAACTTATCACTGACCCAGTGTCATACATTCTACATGGCTAGGACTGCCAGCACTTGGTTACTTTTCTTCATATTATTTCCAAAAAGAACATTAGAAACTTAGGCATCATATTTAAAATTGTTACCCCATATACTGGGGGACACATTACTGGGGATTGAATTCAGGGCACTCCCACTGAGCACACTCCCTGTGCCCCGCCCCCTACAATTTACATTTATTTTTAAATTCTGAGACAGCATCTCACCAAGTTGCTAAGTCGCCCAAGCTGGGCTCAGACTTGCAGTCCTCTTACGTCGCCCTCCTAGAGTGCTAGGATGACAGTGTGGTTGACTGCACTCAGCTCATCATCAGAGTTTTAATTACCTGAAAGGGTCTAACCTCCCCTGTGTGGTAAATGCTAACGCCTTAGAGTAAGGCCATGGTGTCACTGCTGTGAATGTGCCCAGTGGGGGTGAAGACTACAGCAGCCTGAAGCACTCCATCTCCACCTACACAAATACAAACGGGCTCCTTGTTACATGGCAGACACTGTATCCCTTCTTCTTACTATTTCCATTTATTTCCCCTCAGCATTTTTTCTTAATGTGAGCACATGGTTATGCCTTAAAGTATTTTATTTATTATATTATCTCCCGGTAAGAGAAGTATACATCTAATTAATTTTGGGGTGGCCCAGGTGCTAGGATGGAATCCAGAGTCTCTAGCATGCTAGGTGAACTGCCTACTACTGAATTGTGTCCCTCACTCCAAATTATTTTATTTTTAAATTTCTGGTGATCACAAGCCTGTTTTAAGTTTTTAATTTTGTACTATTCCAATTATTAATTCACAATTGTTCATTAATTCAATTGTTCATGACTAATGTGGAAAAATATAAAATATAAATATAATATAGCATGTAAGTGTAGTGGGTTTCTTTTAATAAGTTCATGTATCCGTTTAATAAGCTCGTATCCATCTAATATGTGCGGATGAATCTTGCCTAGAATAAGAAGACGGTGCACAGCATTCATTCTATTCCCAGCTTTTGTCTTTATAGACTGCTCACATTAATGAGAGGTATCTGTGTTAAGCAACCACTTAATGCTTTGATCTCCAAGGTCGTCAGTAATTATCACATAGTGATCCATCATCTTATTCAACAGTGCAGTGATCTGCCAGCTAACACACCGACCAGGTTCCTGCCAGCTAATCGGAAGAACCGCCAGGCTGATCCGTCTCACCCTTGTACCTCCTGCTTGTGCATCACATTAAAGCCCTAGGCCGCCAGAGATTGGGGCTGATATTCTGGGAATGATCCCAATCAGTGCTCATCGACATGAATAAATCTGCCTCCAAATCCTGGGTGTATTTTGGTGTTTCTGCTTGCCACTGCAATTGAATTTGATCAAAAGAAAAGAAATTAAATACATCCATCATTACAATTACCTGAGCCATTCAGTTTTGCAGAACCAGAGCAAGAAGGCTTTACCAAGAGTTACTAAAGGAACGTTCCTCTCGTGACTTAGATTCACACACTTCCACTCAGAGGCAGCTTATGCAGCCGAATATAAGGCAAAACTACCTTAATAATGTACTATTTTTATAAAATAACTTTCCTTTATCGATCAGTCTCCTTATATATGTATATAATATGCATATATGCATAGGAATATTTGTTAACACCTTGGGTTAGAGATCTAGAATTCTGTTGGTGGAAAATAACCAACATATAACCCAACTGAAAAAACCAGTAATAATCAAACCAATTAGTCAAATCAGACTTTGTGTCAGTTTAAACAACTGTACTAATTATGTATCCCTATGACAACTATTTCGCATCTGACTCCAGCATGCCGGCACAGGTCACCATCCCATATATCTAACACCATGCAACACCGAGAGCATGCACGAAGACCATAACTGAAGGTGGCCTCCCACACACACACAGCAAGCCTTCCATGGGTCAGGGGCCTCCGACCTCTGCACACCCAGCACAGGAAGATCCTGACATACGAGGTGCTCCTCCACTTGCTTCAGAGAGGAAAGGGCAGCAGAGAGCAGGCTGAGGAAGACACGCACCACCTGTTTACTGTGGGTGTGCTCTCGGGCGGGTGGACTGCAGGGCAGTGGCCAGGCCCCAGATGCAGTCTTTAAAATCTGTGGGGCCCCGCACTCCTGGCAAGTCTCCACCAACCTTAGCAGCGCACATAAAGTAAGTCAGCTGTGGGTGCGAAGATGTAAAACAAGACACACTACAGCACCATCTTTTCTGATGCAAAATTGTGAATATGTTAACTAAGGTTATGAGTAGCAACTATGAACACTTTCTAAACAAATTTCCATCACAGCAAAACAACTAACTTCTTACTGAGTAACCTGGAAAACAATTTGTGGGTACTCAATCTCTATTGTATAGAATGTCAATCTAACCCTTCCCAGGCCTCCCCTAGCACTTAAGAGTTCTGCATCATAAACATGATAAATATGAAACAGAGTAAGCATAGGAAAAATATCAATGGAGAACATGCACAATGACAGTATGATAAAAAAAAAAATCCCAAAAGGCCCCATCCTGTTAAAAACACATTAGTATCTAAATTTCCTGAAAATAAAAAAGGACTGTGACCATCCATTACTACCTGTAATAACAACAGCAGCTATTTAGAAAAGCAGTTACATCCTGGAGATGCATGAAAGCCAATGTGAGCGTTCAAAAGGAAAAGTCATGAAGCACTGTGATCTATATATAAAGACACACACTTCCGCAGAGCTGAGGTGACTTGGTTCTGAAAAGGACAAAAGATCAATGGAGCTGATGAGCAGATGGTTCCGGCTGGCACTTCATGGAGCCTGTTACACTCACCGCCTCGGTGTGAACAGGGTGCACAGCGAACAGCAAGGCCGTCACAAAGGCAAGGCCCCGGCTCCGGAAGACCGCTCGGTCACAGGTGTACATCAGCACGAGCGTCACCAGGCAGTGCAGGATCACATTCACCACGTGAAAGTAGAATGGGTCCATGCCCGTCAACAGAATGTTGAGCCTGTAAAAAAGTAACAAGGAAAAACGTAAAGCCAGTAGCAGCTACAAGCATGAGCATAAGCAAAGGAAACTCTCACTTTAAAGAAAGATACATTCCCTACCTATGTCATTATTTTTAAATGACTCCCGACAGAGGATTATTTTACATTTGAATAAGCACCACTTTTTTCCTATCTCAGCATTGTCCAGTCTGCAGAAATCAATGCATGCACGATGTACAGTATTATTTGAAGAACCCTTGGTCACACTGAGAAAGCAGACAGGCAGGAACTGATTCTGTTTTCTCTCTATCCACAATGCAAATACCTGCATAATATCCTTGCTTTTACTGCCAGCTCCTCCGAAGCAGCTGAGCACTCAAATGCAAATCCAAAGTGCTGTAGATCCCAGAGCCTTGTCACTGGAGATGAACAGAACCACGAGACTGTGACTGTGCCCACAGAGAGACAAATCTGGCAGGAGCCTCACTACAGTGCCACCAAGAACCACATTTCCAGATTTATGTGCTGGAAGCATCACCCAGTTACCAGCTCACAAAGGATGTTTAGGGTGCTGCATGCTATCACCAGGGGCAGCAGAAATTCAAAAATGAGTAAAATCACATTTCAGAATTTATGTAAAATGTTATCTCATAATCTTACTTTGAAGGCTCTGACAAAGAAACTGAAAGAGATCCACCAAAAGAAGGGGAACTGTTGTTTAACAGAAAAAAAATATTTGCAGGAGACAAAAATTCAAAAACACAGAAATATCTGAAGTTGCCTTAATTTATGAAAAGGACATAATGTCCCCAAGTTGAGCCTGTGGAGCTATAGAAAATGCACTAGCACTTTGGGAGACACAGGATGGTTCTTTGGGGGCATTAGTATATACACCCTGAGGGACAGCACCTGTAACTGTCTCCACTCTGGTCTACTTACGGTAACCCATTTTACCAGACCGTCACTGTAGGTCATTATTCTCATGCCCTTGATTTGTTTCTCTTACAGAAACAACTCCTCTTTGCCAAAACAACCAAGACTGTAAAAGTCAACTTTAGAAATGGCATGTGCATATTTGAAATACTTGGCTTGATCTATGCCCAGCTTTAACCCACAGAATTTTAAACATCTCAAGTTTTATGTGGGCAAAAGAATTCATCCCCACCCCCACTGAAGCAGTCTCAGTCCCACACTAAGCCTAGGAGAATGGATTGCTGTGGAAGGTCCAAACCCAGGTGCTGGCTCAAGTTCACCTCATCTGTGCCCTGGTGGAGCCCCCAGCCAGCCTGCAATCATCCTTAACACGAGAGCCAGGGTGGGCAGTAAACCCTGGAAGGGAAGAGGGATGCTGAACTAGGGAATGACCTGTATAGCCAAGCAAAAAAACAGCTTTACAGTCTAGTACTAGAGGACCTGCAGGTGCAGCAAAGTTTCAGGAAATCAGGAAGCTCAAGACTGAAGAGCCTGAAGAGAGGGAGGCCAAACAGGATTCTTACAGAACCAGAGTGCAGTTCCCCAGGGGCCTCCCTCCTGGGGCTGAGCGCCACTGTCTGCATTCCAACAGGCTGAGTTTTCTGGTCCACATCAGTGACAAGAGGAAGAACCAGCAATCTCCTGCATAGCTGGTAGGTGTTCACACTGGAAGGTCTGTGGTGGGCAACGTGCATCCAGGGTTTCAAAAAGTGTGTATGTGCCCTTTGCCTGAGAAGTCCACTTCTAGGAATTTTCCATAATAACCAGAAACAGTGCTCAAAGGTTTTGGGTGTATATGTATACAAGAATGTATCTCACCATACTAATTACAAAAGTTGCAAGGTCTAAAAAGATGGAAAGCAAATTCTTCAAACCATAGACAAGATATCTTGAGACAAAATGCTAGCAAAATTTTAGAGGCGTATCTTACTTGTGAGAACAGAAAAAGAATCTCTGGTTCTGGGAGCTAATATGGATTCACAAAAAGAGGGGCTAACTGATGAGCCTCATAATTTAACAGGAGAGGGATCTGATAGATGCATCACGTCTTTATTTTAACAAAGGCATTTGTCAAGATCTCTTGAAATCTTCCCACATACAAGATAGCTTTAAGACAGATTTGTAGCAACACAAAGCAAAGAGTGGTGAATAATAAATCAATGTCGTCTTGAACTGAGACCTCCAATGTATGTCACAGTGTGCTGCTTTTATCTCTGTTCTTCCCAATATTTTTATCAAAGACTTAAACTATAGAGTGATGCTTATCAAGATTACAAATACTTGTATTTGGGAACAGCAGTTAAACAGCTGCAAGACTGACTGAGAGTCAAAGCACAGATGACTGACTTTTCCCCCAGATCTGGGATTGAACCCAGAGCCTTCACACTGAGACACACCCAGCCCTTTTTACTTTTCATTTTGAGCGGGGTCTCACTAAGTCAGTAGATTGCCCAGGCTGGACTCAAATTTACAATCCTCCCGCCTCAGCCTACTCACGGTACTGGGATTACAGGTATGTATCACTACGTCCAACTGAAATTATTAACGGTAAGAATAGTGAAAAGAATAAAGATCCACTTCAGCACAGAAAAAAAAAAAACATTTTTGACTTAGATTAAATCTATAAAGAGGTTTTTAATTGCACTCAAGCCAAAGAGCTTATATATCCTTGCCATTATTACAGACCAAGCCACCAGCCAGCAACAGTAACTACAGAAGTCCAACTGTCTTCCACTTCCATGTCCTACAAGGTCGAATGAGAACCTAGCATGAGACAGGGACAGGGCGAACTCAAGGGACAGAGCAGATGTGGCAACCTCCCAGGGCGCCCACAGCACAGTGGGATCAGCCAACCATTCAGCAGACAATGAACAGCGGCAGTACTCTGCACGAAAGGATACCATGGCAGGTACTCCCAGGCAGATGCACCCCACTCCAGCTGTGCACAGGAGAGAACAAGGCAGACAGTGTCCCCAGGAACAGCAGACCCCAGGGTACTTCCTGGCCACAAAAGCAGCTTCCAGCCAGGCTCCTGAAATGAGGCCTCACCAAGAAAGTCTGGGAAATAGGGATGCTCAGCCTAGAGAAGGGCAACAGGACTGTTGCCAGCTCCTGGAAAAAGACTGCCATATTTTTAGCTGTACAGTGTCCAGCACAGTATCCCAGCATCACAGTATCACACAACAGATGTTTGTATGAATAAGCACAAGTATGAATGAAAGACACACTGAAGGAACACATATGCTCTAAGTAAGATCCACTTTCATCACAGCAACCAGGACAGGCTCAGCCTGCAAATTCCTTAGTTTCACCTTTACACCATTTTTCTGATTCACCAATTTTTTAAAAAAATAACATGTGATTTCATAGAAATATTTCCAGTTCTGCTTGAATACTAGGAGACTTGGCAACTTTGGGCCGCCATGCAGGGAGGACGCAAGGCTGTCCATTCTGAGGTCGGGTGTTTACAATGTATAGAGTTTCGGCCAGGTCCCTCAAGTTACAAATCTCAGGCTATATGATTATCCTCGTACACACAGTTTTTCTCGTAGTAAAGAGGTGAGTGGAGTGTCTTGGGCTTCTATTACCATCACATTTGGGAGATAAAAAGAATCAAAATGACTGTGTATAGAAAAATGGAATAAAGTATATTTCTGGAAGAGGAGACTATACCATGTCTAAGACTCAAATCTCACACCCAGCTCATGGCTCAACCTTCCCACCCTTGCAGCATTTGAGTTTTCAACCATTAGTATACAAAGTATGAAGATGACTGCAGCTCAGGGAAAGAAAAAACACAAACCAGTAGCCACTTGAGCAGTGCTTGGCAGAAGTGCTAGGACAGTGCCGGCCACAGAAGGGTGAAGCCCGTGCCGGATGCCTCAGGATGCTGTTGCTCTGAATGAAACTCCACAGCAGCACTCCTGTCTTCTGTGGGCCCCAGGCAACAGCGCTACCAGGTCAGAAGCAGGGTTTTCACAGGATACAAGAAGCAGACCTCTTTCCACCATGTACTCAGCTCACTCGGCACTCAGTAGCTTCTCAATGAACACTAACAGAACAGCAAACAAAGGTACATGACAGAGCTTTCCCTTTAAACTCTAGGACTCTTCCATTTCATGTAGCTGACCCTTAAAAAGTACCTTGACCAAGCAGGAGGAAATCAAACATTCTTAAAGACACCTCTGATTGCCTTCCAGAGGTTGGCAAATACGAAAGAACACAAATCGCCCCTTTGCCATCTGAACTGCTCTGCCTTCCTATAAAACTGCCCAGAAAGCTGGGCGGCAGCTCTGGCAGTCAGATGAGCTGCCTTCCAGGACAGCCAATCCATTCCAGGAAGGTCACAGGGTCACAGATCCAGCACCGAAGCCCCAGCACTGGGAGCAGAGAGGGCCATGAGCTCTCCACCTCCTTTGTCACTGACAGAGGCTGGAGACACAGTCCAGCGCTCTCATTTTCTTTTCTGAAAATAGCTCTGGTTTAGACAAGGACACGCATGAGGTTTCCCTTGAGGCAGAAACCGGTCATTGCTCAAGTCTGGATGCTGAGTCAGAGGCAGCCAAACCTGGCATCTTCCTGTTCCTAGGGCACCCACGACGCCCAGGGCCAAAACACCCTGATTACCACCACAGCCCTGCACCCACCTTGTCTTCGGCAGTGAAGCTCCGCCACCTGGCCTTGGTGCCCCAGGACCCCACTGCCACACTAACATCACAGCCCTCATATATCAGTGCGGCAAGCGGGGCTTCTCCAAGCTGTAGGTGCTCCTGCCCGCCTCCGACCCTCAGTCACTAGGTCCTCGGAGGAGCAAAGCTGGTAGAGAAGCTGGAAGGTGCTGGCAGGTGGCTCATGCCAAGCATCTCCCAACCTTGCAATCACAGTCAGCCTCTTCCTGTCTGACTGGCAGATAGTGGCGTCCCAGTGCTAACAGGCCTCTGAGGAGTCCCAGCAGTTCCCAAGCTTCTGCACACCTGGCACACCAGAGCAGACTCCTGAGCCCACCCAAGATGCGCTAAGCCAGTAGATGGGATCCCGAATCCGAGAT